TGATGCAATCCCTGGAAAACTCACATTCATTCACCGTGGACATATTGAATTCTATTTTGTAGCACAAATATTCTTTTGGGTGACTTTGGGCCGTGACTTGGCAGAAATCTTCAATACCATATTCAATTGTCCCCAAACAATATCTCAATGACAACATGGTGGCATTAGAAAACCCACTGTATATTTTTAGCTGAGATAGTGACAAAAACATCCAACACACCCAAAGCGTATATACTTCCTTGTCACATCACCAAAAGCTGTTATATTCTGCGGTGAAAGGTGACACGTCTTATCCCATAGTGTTAATCCCACATAACCTCTAGTTTTCTCTATCATGCCTGTACCTTGACTTGAGCTTGACAAGGACATAGAAAAATAAGTAAACGATGTTCCTTCACGACTGCTTACAACGCCACGATAAGCCCGGAGACTTTTAAAAGATTTATGCCTTTGTGATGACCTTGGTGGAATATTGAGGTTCCTAACTTTGCTATCATGTTTGTTTGTGGTTGAACACTTGGCCCTGATGCAACCGAGTGTAAAGGGAAGTGTATAGAAAACAGTGGCGGCTGGTGGAATTTTCTACTGGGGGGGCTATGAATATGATGACTAGATATATACCAGCAGTAAGTAAGTTTACACTGACTGTTGTGACTGAAGCCTCACACGAGAATGAAATATTTATCTTCCCAAACATAGCTAATTTGAGGGCATTTTGCATGTGGATACCAGTCTGCTCATGCTTCTTTGCCTTTTCTAAAAAGTGCTTCAGATCAGTCATACCTGTCTTGATCCATGCTGGGTCAGATCCTGATGTTTGAAACAAGAGGCATGGAAAGCAAAATAAAGCATTAGCCTCGCTACATGCTGCTAGCCAAGATTTGGCGCTGAACCAGGTCCTGGACTGCTGACTAATGGTAATATTTGGCTGATCAGGTCCAAGCTCTTTAACCTCAACCTTCTCTTGGTATGATCTTCTCTCAAACGGTATTGTTTTGAGTGATCTAACTGAATTATTCTTTTTCTCGTTCTCCATTTTGCGTCTCTTTACGTTCGTCTCAAACTCCCACAGCTTGACCTGTCAATCACTGTAAACGGACGTCACAGACAGTGACAGTACAGGTCGCGGGCGATCCCGCCCCCTCAGGGCGCACTTCTCCTGCACCCCCAAATCGTCTTATCTCTTGCATTGAAGAGGAGCTACTGCGCATGTACAACTTTTAACGAGAGTCCATAGACGGCTCAGGGCGCAATCTTTTGCGCCCTGAGGCGGAAATACGTCCTCAGTCCGACCAAGCCCCGGCGATCCAAGATGGCGCCCTATTCAAATGAATGGTTGTGCTCAGTGGCGCTTTGTGATGGCATGGGGGCTGAAAGATTAGCGGAAGTTGCCTGAAACTCGCAAAGATCTATGGGAAACTCGCCTGTATTTGGGCATCGTCTGGTCCTCCCGGTTCTGCGCAGTGGATGATCTCCCATAATGCGTTGCGCCAAATACGCGTGTGTGGGTCTCACACCGGGTCTCACGCACGTGCACAGAGGGGCTTGGCCGCGCTCTGACCAATCAGAGCAGTTCATCAGAGCGGGAGTTAGAGCGAGAGCCAGACGAGCAGAGTTTGTGGCACTAAAGTGTGGATTTAAACAAAACCAAAGGATTTAAGAAGAAAAAAAGTTCAGGATTACAAGGGACACTAAAATCCCCACAAAATCCGATCTTTATTAAAGCTGTAGGTTCTCTGTCAGCTGAGGTTGAGCTGTTTTAATATGCATTGAGTCCTATGGGGAAAATTTCTGGGTAGCCCACGTGAATTTAGTCTGGTTCAGTCTGCAGTACCGCGAGAATCCCCTGAGCACGTGAGTTATTCAGCTACAAGCTAGTAATACCCTATCCAGTTAATATAATAGATCCATGAGTCCGACACAGACAACGCTGATGAGCTTAATCAATCCAACTCAGCATAAACTATAAAGTATTTCTTCCACATCTGAAATAAAACACACATACATTTCGAAATATTTTAATGTTATTATTTTTTTTAACGTTTTATTCAAGGTAACATGGCAAGTTGTGAGTGGTGGGGCGGCGCCCTAGCGCCCTCTATTGGCCGGCCGCCACTGATAGAAAACCACACATTGTACACATAGTGGTTACGACATGAGAAGAAAACTGCATTAAGTCAGTATTTAATAGTTAATCGTGAGAGCTCCGGTTTCCCCTACCACTAAAAACATGTATAATAGGTCTGGCATGCGCCTCCTGTATGGCGACCCCGCTCCCATCTCTCTGTGGAGTGAGAGACAAATGCCCACAATGTAAACCGCTTTGTGACTCTGGTCTGTGAAAGGCGCTATATAAATAAAGATTACTTATAGCTTACTTACTGATTTCAGTGAAATGGCGAGCCCAGCCTTTCCAGAGACTTTATGAGCACACATTTCAGTCTGAATTTTGCACATAACAGTTCTACAACAGCAATAAAAACGGTATTTATATTTTTTTTAACGTTTGAATTGTGTTAAAACAAATAGAACTGTGAGTCAACAAGAATATAAGGCATTGGTTTTAGCACATATTTGGGGCTGGTGTTGTGTGAATTGGGTGTGTCTCTGACTGCCACTCCCTGCCTCAGAAATGAATTAAGGTGAAGAAAATGGATGAATGGATTTGGACACTCAAAGACACTTAAAACGGCATTATTCTTTCACTTCTGTACAGTGGTGATGAATTACTAGTGTAGCCACAGCTGTCCTGAGGCAGACCGAAAGACCACGCAACCAGTTTGTGCCATTGGCCCCTCCGACCACCAATCCTTCTCTCTCGCATTACACTCATACAGGTAATGAGGGCGAAGTGTTGTGCATAAGGAAACAGGATTAAGATAAGATAAGATGTGCTTTATTTATCTCACATAGGAGAAATTTCTGCCCTATTATGATGAGCTCTCCCATCGCAGTACTGCCCTGCATACAACTTGCATTTGTCCAAAAACCCAGCATGACCCGAATATCCTGAATACAAGGTGCAGAAAGTTTAAGACTGTAACAAGTCAATTAATTATTAGCAACTAATCAATATTTTATTCATCTTTATTTAAACAGCACATTTTTACAGACCAAGGTCACCCAGAGCGCTTTACAATGTTTCAAGTTCATATACTGTTTTGTTCTCGCCCCACACTATGATGAGACGCTGAACACACTGGTTTCTAATGGGAGGGGAAACCGGAGCACCTGGAGGAAACCTACGCCGACACAGGGAGAACATGCGAAACCCACTCAGACCGAGATCTCTTGCTGAGGAGTGAGAGTGCTATCCGCTCAGCCACTATGTCGCCCAGTGTTTAGTTTGATCAAATGTCTTTAAAAAGTCTCACATTCACCACCATCTGATGATCTCAATAATTGATGAATTAATTAGATATAAAACGCTCGATCCAATCAACAAAACTCAACTCGCCAACATCACAGATCCTCCAGAAGCTTGAATATAGGGTCTTTAATTACTTCCCCTCCCATCCACACCATACACTGCAGCTTATGCAGTCATTAAAACCATGTAAACCAGAGCACCACCCTTTTTAATATCAGCAAGAAAGAAAGTGTTCAATATCATCTTGTGGTTGAATTCTCTCGACTGGTGCTTCTAACTGAATCTATAGGCTCTGCCCTGTTGCTCACACTTGCAGGATAAGCCCTGATGTATATTTTAAGTGGAGCCCATTACAGGCAGTGCATTAAATGATGACGAGGCTCTGTTCTTCATTTTAATCAAGCGTCAATTTGCATTCAGGCTGTGTGTGATGGGAGGTCAAGCCCAGCACTGTTTAACACCGGGAGACATCACAGGGAGACTAGCTGGTAATGAGGAGCAGCCACTGACGCCCGAGCTAAAGTGAGCATACTGTAAACATACTGTATTACATTTTGGAGCTATAATTTACTATGGAGTTGTGAAATTCCTGAAAGCAAAATTCCTCGTTCAAAAATCTAAATTTGTAAAATAAAATATATAATTGATACATCAGAAGATAACTAGCTTCCTGCTAACTATTCTCAGCGCACCGGTTTCAGCCAAAACTAAAACCAATAACATTTTACCTTTTGTACCAATGTTCAATCTGTTATAAAAAAGATTTAGTATGAGACATTTGACATCTCCATGGGCAGTTTACTACAAAAATAGTACAACAAACCAATCATAACACACATTCTAAGGCCTAGAGCCGGTGACATGAGACGAGACAAACGGCCGCACTGAGCCGCTGCATTAGGAGTCTCAGAGCTGATGTCACATATTATGATTCTGCTGTGGTCGTGTTTGAATGAATGGTTTTAAGATGAATGCAGTTCATGTCCCACAGAGCTCCATCCACCTGCCACCTCTGAGCGCCTCCACACTCTGGGACAGACACGGCATCACAACAACTTCTCGTACATCGCCTAAAGAGTGACTTAGGTCTTATAAATATGATGGGAAGAAATGTTGCAGTTTTTAGGATTTTTCTTTTAAGTGAATCATACAACCTACATGTTAGAGTGAATTATAGATACACGTTTTATTTCAGAGAACTAAATGTATTATTTTTTGTCTTTACATGCTACTATACTCTGTAAGTAAGTCATCTTTATTTACAGTTTTTCTCTATTGCTACAACACAAAACCCAGTACTCTAAACCAAATGACCAATTGCCTAAACACATTTATTAAAACTTCCCCCCACTTCTCACAACCATAAACACAACTCCCGTGTAGACACTGTTCACAAAACACATGCCCTTTTTCTCAAAACTCTAAACAAATTTTTCTTTTGCTAAAACACTTTTTGCATGTTTCTCTGCTCCTATAATCATCGTGAGGCTCATGTGATGAAAAATTTCTCCCACTGTCAGCAAAACCTGAACACAATGAACAAACCTGGTGTCATTCAGAAAACACAACCACTCAGAACTGAAAACACCTGTTACAAATGATGTGACCACAACTTTATAAGTCAGTGCAGGTTCCAAACGAAAATGGAGGATCAAGGAAGAAGAAGAGGAGTTTGTGTCAGAGGAGGGAGAGGAGCAGGCCGAGGAGGGAGAGGAGCAGGCCGAGGAGGGAGAGGAGCAGGCCGAGGAGGGAGAGGAGCAGGCCGAGGAGAGAGAGGAGCAGGCCGAGGAGGGAGAGGAGCAGGCCGAGGAGGGAGAGGAGCAGGCCGAGGAGGGAGAGGAGCAGGCCGAGGAGGGAGAGGAGCAGGCCGAGGAGGGAGAGGAGCAGGCCGAGGAGGGAGAGGAGCAGGCCGAGGAGGGAGAGGAGCAGGCCGAGGAGGGAGAGAAGGAGGGCGAGCAAGACAACGCATTTCCATTACAGATGAACTAAGAGCAACAGTCATTGACCACGTCATGACTATTGTGTCTAATGGATCCTCTATAGAGTTTACAGTACCCATGTTTGCATTGAGTTTTGATATAACTGCATTTTCTGCGTTATGTAACCATTCCCATGAAACGCGCAAATCTATAGTAAATGCCCAAAACATATTTGAGAATAAAACAAGTGTTGCTCAAATGCATCCTGGCAGTTGTGAAACTGTAAAAAGGAAAGTTGTGTTTTTAATTGTTTTGGTTAATGATGCTCATAGTGTTCACATTTTTGCAGACCATGAGAGGTATTTTGGTGTGATGGGTTGGTTTTGAGAATATGAGTCACTGTTTTGGTGTGATGGGTTGGTTTTGAAAAGAGACTGTGTTGTTGTGTGTACGTAGCTTTAGAAAAGAGGTTTGTGTTTAGAGTTTTGAGAAAAGGGAGGGCAGTATTGTGAAATGTGTTTAAGCAATAGAGAAAAACTGTATTAATCCAGCACAAACAGTCACACAAAGCGGCGTCAAATTTTTGGTCTACCAGTAATGTCCACTCCTTCCACACACAGCCTCCGACCATCACCGTCCGTTCACTCCCTCATTACTGTACATACCTGTTGTACATATTTTTTGTGGTCGGAGAAACCTGAGCACCTGGAGGTAACCTACACAGACACGGGAATAACATGCAAACTCCATACAGAGATGAGGGATTTTTCGTGTGAGCTGTTATGGCGTGGACTTTTGTTGTTTAGTTCTTAGTTTTATTTTGACATGTTAGTCTGACTTCCTATTTGTTGTCCATTGCCTATGTCTGTCCATTTTCCTGCCTCCCAAAACGACTTCTATTTGGATTATTTAGTTTTTACCTTGGACTTTTATTTATTCTATCATCAAATTCTCTCATTTTGGATTCCTGCATGTGACAAGTTGCCAAAGAAACTATTATATACAATCAAGGACATAAACATTGAGTTATGCTGAACACAACTGCTATTGTTGGCTTCCATTCTCATCACATTCTACAAACACGTTCTGAAATCCACATTCCTGGTGTGACTTTGGAGATGAGAGTTAGGGCTGGAGATGCGATCGTGCGAGACAGCAGCAGTCGCCCTCTCTGCTGCTCTCCTGCCCTTCACCAAAACACATTCAACTGGTCGATACTATTAACAGCACAGCACACAGAGACAGACAAAGTCACCTAAATCAGATACAATCAATGTACGTAGAAAACTTCTTATCATGGGTTCTCCAATAATTAATAAAAAAATCCAGTTGCCCTTTCCCCCGTCACTTCTTCTTGTCGAGTGACGCATCTTTATACAGCAACAAAAATCCCCCTTATCTGATCCAGCCGTAATGCGTTTCACGCTTTTTCATTAAATGTTTTAGTTAATTAATTTGACAAAGCTGAATATAATCACATTTTAATAAAACACTCACACACATTTTCCCAGAATATTCAAAAGAACTATAGCATCAAACTTAATAAATCTAAATAAATTACTCTAAATAAATTACAAATTTTAGGAAATGTATTAAATTGACCTCCTGGCCTTAAATGTTGATATAAAATAAGTCATTTTATTAATTCTAATATTACAGGTAAGTCCCGCCTTCCCTTCTCTTTGCTATGGCTCAGAATCCACGATGCTGTCGAGGTTAACCAATCGAGTCATGCCAAGGGCTGTCAATCATCGGCGCTGATGCTCGCAGCTGCTCATGCTCAGTTGTTTGCTTTTGCGGAGCCTCCGAATCAAGCCTCTATAGGCTCTGGAACTACATGAAAACTGAACAAAGAATTCTGAACATCCGCGCTGAGGTACTCATTTATACACTAAACCTATATCCATAATCAGATCCTCTGCAGATGTGTCCTATAATGTGCAATTCATGATAATAGCTTCTTCCGGGTTTACCGCGATAGTTTTTTTGTGCATAAAAACATAATTTTTTTCATTAAAACATAAACAAATAATTCTAAAAACCTCCGTGCATGTGTATTAATAATGTATATGTATAATGTGTTCTCTGATTAACATTTCAAAGTGTTACGGAAACACAGGCGTAGACCAATCAGAAAGGAAGGGGGAGGGAGCTTGCGTCGTTTTTTTCACGACTCAAGTGCCTCTCTGTCACTCTGTCTGACAAACTCCAGACAATCACTTTAACGCTGGGGTACCTAACTTTTTTCTCATCATAAATAATATATTTTTAGTCCCAACAAAAACTTTGGTTAAAGTACAATTTTGTGAACAAATTAGACCACCACATGCTGTTTTATCTTGGTAGAAAACATGTAAGAAAGAGCCTCATGATCCTCTCTTTGGCGCTTTAGGCTGAAAGCTGATTGGCCGAGTCTATTTTTCACGTTTCTGTTTGAAAAAGTGTATTTAACGTGACAGAGACCAAAAATACATGCATTTAAAAACTAAGGATGGAACCAAAATGAATGAGAGAAAGGAACCAACTTGTATTTCATTTACATTTGTTGAAGTTTGAAAGTTAGGTACCCCAGCTTTAACTATCTAGCATGTTATGTAGTTAGTTACATAGTTGCTGTTGTTTTTAATGATGATAACATACCCTTAAAAGAGACAGACTTTCTCACCACACATCTCACTTTGCCACATCTCCATAAAAAGTCTGTTTTCTCACCTGCACTCATTATAAAGATGCAGATGTGCTTTATTGCGTATATATAGTCTGCATATTACAGCTATTATACGTCTGCGTTCTCGCTCACTTCATAAAATACATCACTGCGTGGTGAACTGTTTCATTTGCGTCACATCCCACATTGTTCAAACATTTATACCCGCTGATCAAACCTTCATTATCCAGTGCTTTAGAGAAACACCGAGAGCCCATGTATCCGGCATTAGTCACTGTCAACACGGGATTTGATTAGAATCCAGCTGCACTGTCATCCTCTCTCCATCGGAATATTTTAATAGTAAATGATATAAGTCTGAGCACAATTAGTCAATGTCTTACAATGTACAACAGAGGATAACAAGTGTGTGGTTTGTGATTGGCTGAGAGGGAGGAGGAAATAGTATTGATTATTATAGAGTAGTCAATCGATGGAACCACAAGGTCTAATAATGTCACAAACTGCAGGTAATCTTGATCAATGTGGCAATTCCACAGGTGTCCACAAGATGGCATCTGGAGGAGGACACACCCAAACAAGACAGAGTAATGATAACTTACTTCTATACTTTTTGCCCAAACCCCAGAGAGGCTAGAAGTCGGCCTTCTTGTTTGTACTATAAATATATGTGAAATAGTAATAATAACATCAGGTCTTTCCCGGTGGTCTGTGGCTCCAAACCAAATTAAATGTAGCAGTTAGATTGAGAGTTGCTATTGGGTTGCACATTTAGTATCAATCATTACTCATAAAGAAATAATAATAATAATAATATTTATAAAACAGCTACAATTGACTAGTTACAGTACAATTGCTGTGAATTAAATAATCATATATTAATCTAATACAATATGATAGTTTTGGTAGATGTTTGAGAAACTTAGTGTGGGTGAGCAATATTGACCTAAAGAGAACTAGAATCAGCCAAACTGCACTTTGAATCTGAGTATGATCCAATACATTATTTACAAGAGATGGAGGCAATTTGCATTACAGTAAACAAAGGGCATATCACATTTTAGTGTCACTATAGATTTTACTCACTGCCTGCAAAGGTACAATACAATAAATATCAGTGAATGAAAAATCTAAAAGTCATTTACATGTTGCGACACAAACATTTATAAGGGCCATTAAAATCCACATTCTTATGTGCACTATGGCAGTGGCCCGGTCTGTTAAAAGCAGCAGCTGTTTGCATGTTTGACGGATAAACTTGCTCCAGATGTTGGACTCATCAGCTTCATCTCAATGTTATTTGTTTTGTTTGAAGAAAAAACTCACATCTTTGTCTCCAGAAAATAAGTCTGTTCTTAGAGCTCTCTGCTCACATCCCCAGCTTTGGCAGAGGAATAAACATGACAATGTTACATTGAAATTTGGAAATGAACAAAGACAATTCTGATAGAGATAAAAATGCAGATGTATCGTCGATGCCATAGCAACTCCACTAAATGAGAACCATTGGAATTATTATTTACGTATTATCTACATAAAATAATACAGTACAGTACAGCTGTACGATGTCTATATAGATCATCTGCTCTCTTTGCAGAGGTTATTGAGCTGCCTGTAATCATATAGTACAAGAAGCATTGTTTTGTTAAACTACTGCTGTTTTAATAGATAAATATTGCTTTATAAGACTGGTTTCATAAGGGAAATGTCATATGGTGGAACATACATTGGACAAGAGCAGAGAAAATGGTCCAAACCCAGCGGCTGCATCACCTCTGCTGCTGCGACCTGAAGGGCTGTTGCATTTTATTATTACTATTGTTAGATTATTAGAATTATCAATTTATTTGTTATCTATCTATCTATCTATCAATCTATCTATTTATTCCAGGTAAAGCATTAACACATCATGGTTCATCCGTAAGAGTAACAGGTGAATATCTACAGTACATAAACTTTTAAGAACATCTGATAACATTGTGTGCAAAAAAAAAGCACTCTTTCCAAAAATCCCCTTTGGTGTTTTCCACTAAAGCAGCCATCAGTCTGAAACAGGCACATCAGTTCTCGTCTCCATCATGACTTTAGATTGTGAATGTAAGAAGCAGCTCTGCCAGCACCAATAACATTAGCACAAGCAGGACGTGTTTATGGTTGTATTGTGAGTCTGTGACCAGCTCTGGGCCTGCAGCGCTCTGTGATAACTCTGCATTCGACAGCACTCCAGTTTAGAGACATGTCCACCAGCGACTTTCACTTAACATTATCAACAAAAGAATCGAAAGCAGACAAACTTATGATAATGCTCTCTCACTTTCTGTGACAATAGAATAGTTCAATACACAGAACAATGCTTGCACAAGCTTGTGTGCAAAGGGGAATGAGTTTATCCACAAATCATC